GGCATGGTCATGATGCCGCCTTTCATGAAGGGCGGCTTTGGCGGCTGGGGCGGCGGCAAAGGCTTCGGCGGCGGCTGGGGCGGCGGCAAAGGCGGCGGCAAGGGCTGGGGAGCCGGCGGCGGTGGGTTCAAAGTGAGAGACGAGAACGCGCCGTCCACAGTTTGGCTTGGCAATCTCCCAGAGGGCATTTCGCAAGAAGAGGTCAAGACGAATTTCGAGGCAGCGGGAACCGTCAAGAAGATTCAGCTTATCAAGCAGGGCAAGGAGGGGTTCGCATGGTTCTCGACTCCCGAAGAAGCGCAGACCGCCATCGCCATGTTCAACGGCGCCCAGATCAACGGCCAGGCTATTGTCGTTGACCCGTGGACAAGGAAGGCGAAGTGAGCCGCCCCTATCTTTCTTCCTGCCCATCCCCACACCACTGCCTATTCCTTTTTGCTGGTGCTCCTCCGCAGCGTGCCGGTGATCGCGCTGGAAGCCAGGTAACAAAAAAAATCATCATCATCATCATCATCATCATCATCATCATCATCATCATCATCATCATCATCATCATCATCATCCTCATCATCTCCATCATCACCATCATCCCCCGCCGGGAAAATCGTTTATTATCCCCACATACCCCGAACTCCATTATTCCCAAAGGGTTAAACATCACGGGTATTCGGTTATACATGGCATTGCGGACGAGGCCAAGGAGAGCGCGGGCGTTGCCAGGTAGAAGGTCAAGGGCGCGGTCGAAGACAAGATGGACGACGCGAAATCCAGCATGGAGAGAATCAAGGGCAACCTCGAGGACGCCAAGAAGGGCGCCGAGCCTAGCGTGAGCTGCATTAAGAAAGACGTCGAAGACAGCATGCCCGACGTCCAGGGCGATCTGGGCAGTGCAGCTGACCACGCTGGCGCAGACAACATCAATGAGGTCGAGGGCAAGGTGGAGGACGCCAAGGAGGAAGCCGAGGAGGCCAAGGACAAGCAGGAAAGCGGCCTCAAGGGCGGCCCAGCTTCCACGGGCTCCGTGGAGGACAAGGCCAAGGAGGGCGCCGACAAGGTCAAGAGCGAACACGATGCGGTCGGCAGCGCCAAGGAAGAATTGCTGTCCGCGAAGGCGAAGCTCGGCAGCGCCAGCGACGACGTTAAGGGCATGTCGGATAAGATCGACGACGCGGAGAAAACGGTGGGCGACGCGGAGGGCGGACTCAGGACACGATGGCAGACGTGAGCGATGCCTTGGAGAGCGCAAAGGGGCAGCTCGAGGACGCGCTCAAGAACGCAGACGGCAACCGCCTGCTGGCACGCACGAAGCAGACCGCCGACGACGAACGAGAGCGGGAAAGACGCGGCCGCAGACGCGGTCGACGCGTGCAAAGACGAGGTCGACGCGGGCAGCGCCCCGTTCGACTAAGACAAAGTGAAGAAGTCGCTCAGCAAATTCGACGACGCGCAGACAAAGTTAGAGGGCGTGAAAGAGAAGTTCGCGGGCAAGCTGGACGAAGCCAAGAACAACGTGAAGGACGTCGGCGAGAGCCTGAAGGAGTTGCAGGGTGGCATCAAGGGCGTGACCGACAAGCTCGGCGGCGTGAAAAAGAAGCTCGAGGACGGTGTACAGGACAAGAGGGATCAAGTGAAGGGCAAGGTGGTGGATCAAGTAAAGGAGAAGGCGGGTGACAATTTGGGTGATACGGTGAAAGAGGAGTTGGACGGGATCAAACTCCCCCGATGAGCGGACTTGAGTTTCCGTCCGCCTGCCTCCTCCCTAGCGTCGAACTTCTACCATCCTTCTCTTTTTCTCTCGTTCTCTTTATGTTTTTCTTGTGCTGAACACTGACATAAAGCACCGAACTAGGAGAGCTGATTGAAGCCATGTCCCCATTGCCAGCGCCAAAGCCTTCCTTCGTGCGCCAATCATGTGAACGCTGCTCGGCCACAGGTGATGGGTTCCATCAAATTATGCAGGTGTGCAGGCTGCTGATGCGTGACACAGCAGCAGGGCTCACTGTTGTAGAACAACTGATTTGTAGTATGCACCCTAAGCCCGGCCCGTTGCGGTAGTAGAAGATTGAAGAGTCATGGGTGGCGTGGGCTGTCTCGTGGTGAGCGTGTGGAGGCAGCGTCCGGTTGGCTGGGGGACTCGTTGGCCGCACAAAGTGAGACGCGGCCGTAGGCGCCGTGGGCCGAGCGGGGGCTCCCCTGGGCAAAGCAGTGTCGACCTCGCGCTCGTGCCTGGATCAGAAAATAATAAAAAAGGCACAGGGTATGATTTGATGTGACTTGGGCCTGAGCAAGCAGCACGTCTGGGCGGGACCTGCTAACAGCCTTGTTCACCTGGGACGGCTGAGGGACCCTGGCCTCCGAATCAAAAACATTAACAGTGGCGCATGTGATGCAGGCTCTCAATGTGGCGGCAGTGGCGCTAGCCCACTTGTACTGAGCTGGGCAGGAGGGATCTGACGGCTGTCGGCTCCTTTCCTCGCAATTTCGTCTGCGGCCTCATTGCCTTACCGCACATGGAAAGGGATTATTTTCGTCTCAGCCTCCTGCATTTACATGTGACTGTTGAGCCAACGCACCTAGATCCTGTCGTCCTCACGGTCGATGGTGGGCCCGGCAGATCTGCACCCAAAGGTCACCCATGGTGCTCCAATTGGCAGGCCATTTGTGTCTGGCCCTGTTCCACCCCTTGAACAACACCCCAGAGTCCGTGCAGAACCTGAGGCGCCCACGCGTGTTGAGTAGAGCAGGGACAAAGGCGACGACATCCGCCATGTTGTCGGTCTGGCGGGCGCCCGCCAGCGGCGCGAAGGCACCGCCTCGGATGCCAGGCCTGTCGGAGTCCGCCCGGTCAAGCGCCGCCCAAGCCCAGCCGCAGAGTCGGGGCCGGGAGTCGTCGGACTCTGCTCCTCCGCTGCCGTCGCCGCACGCCTCTGGGGCCTGGTCGTGGTGGGCCCCGAGAGCGCGCCCTGGCGGCGTCGCCCGGGCTCTGGGCGGCGGACCTCCCAGCCAGAGGCGCGGCGCGTGCACTGCCCCCGCGCGGGCTGACTCGGCGAGCGACCCCGGACTCCTCCAGCGCGGGGCGGGAACGAAGAGTGACGTAAACATGAAAACTCGGCGGTCCGCGCGGATTTCTCGGATCGGCGCTGGGGCCCCCCGGCGAGGCGCCGCCCCTGGCGCGCTCCGCGCGCCAGGGAGGGGGGTCCAGCGCCGATCCGAGAAATCCGCGCGGACCTCCGAGTTTTTATGTTTACGTCACTTTTCTTTCCCCTAGGGGTGGGGCTCACGGTCGGGGCAGTCTCCCCGGATCTTGTGGAAATCGTCCGCCCTCGCCCCGCAGGCATGCACGCCGGTCGTTGAAAGTGGGTATTGTTGGATTCCCAGAGCCCGATCCATTTCTGGCGCCTCCCTACTTCAAGCATGGGCGCGGCCCTGACGTGCTTGTTTTTTGTTCTCTGGGAGGCCCCGAACCCAGTCTGTTTTGTCCGCCTTCCTGCTTCATGGTTCTACCTCTGATCTTCCTGCCGGTGCCGGAGCGCCCGCCGTCGCCGCCGCGAGCAGCGCGCTGGCCTCACGGAGGCGCGGGGCTTGCCGCAGAAGCCTCGATGTGCCTCCTCAGATCCTCCTCCTCCTCCTCCTCCTCCTCCTCCTTCTCCTCTCTCCTCCTCCTCCTCCTCCCTCCTCCTCCTCTCCTCTCCTCCTCCTCCCTCTCTCTCTCCTCCTCCTCCTCCTCCTCCTCCTCCTCCTCCTCCTCTCTCCTCCTCCTCCTCCTCCTCCCTCCTCCTCCTCCTCCCTCCTCCTCCTCCTCCTCCTCCTCTCCTCTCCTCCTCCTCCTCTCCTCCTCCTCCTCCTCTCCTCCTCCTCTCCCCCCTCCCTCCTCTCCTCCTCCTCCTCCTCTCCTCCTCTCCTCCCTCCTCCTCTCCTCCTCCTCCCCCTCCATACCTTTTCCATTGAACAGCCGGGAAGCTTTCAACCAGAACTGTTGCTCTATGGCGCAGCGTGGTGTCGCAGTCTGCCAGCTTGCGCAGGACAGTCTCCCTGCGCGCTGCCGTTCCAGCGCCTGATAATAGACAATGTCCTCAGCAATACCGTCGATGACGGTAGAGGGGACCTTCTTCGCAGTTCCACTGGAAAGGAAGGAGGAGGAGGAGGAGGAGGAGGAGGAGAGGAGGAGGAGGAGGAGGAGGAGGAGGACGGAGGAGGAGGAGGAGGAGGAGGAGGAGGAGGAGGAGGAGGAGGAGGAGGAGGAGGATGGAGGAGGAGGAGGAGGAGGAGGAGGAGGAGGAGGAGGAGGAGGAGGAGGAGGGGAGGAGGAGGAGGAGGAGAGGAGGAGGAGGAGGAGGAGGAGGAGGAGGAGGAGGAGGAGGAGGAGGAGGAGGAGGAGGAGGAGGAGGAGGAGGAGGAGGAGGAGGAGGAGGAGGAGGGGAGGTAGGAGGAGGGGAGGAGGAGGAGGAGGAGGAGGAGGAGGAGGAGGAGGAGAGGAGGAGGAGGAGGAGGAGGAGGAGGGGAGGAGGAGGAGGAGGAGGAGGAGGGAGGAGGAGGAGGAGGAGGAGGAGGAAGGAGGAGGAGGAGGAGGAGGAGGGGAGGAGGAGGAGGAGGAAGAGGAGGAGGAGGAGGAGGAGGAGGGGAGGAGGAGGAGGAGGAGGAGGAGGAGGAGGAGGAGGAGGAGGAGGAGGAGGAGGAGGAGGAGGAGAGGAGGAGGAGGAGGAGGAGGAGGAGGAGGAGGAGGAGGAGAGGAGGAGGAGAGGAGGAGGAGGAGGAGGAGGCGGAGGAGGAAGGAGGAGGCGGAGGAGGAGGAGGAGGAGGAAGGAGGAGGAGGAGGAGGAGGGAGGTGAGAGAGAAGAGGAGGAGAGGAGAAGGTGGAGGAGGAGGTGGAGGAAAGGAGGGAGGAGGAGGAGGAGGAGGAAGAGGAGGAGGAGGAGGAGGAGGAGGAGGTGGAGGAGGAGGAGGAGAGAGGCGCCTCGACCTCGCGGACTCGCGGCAGCGGCGCACCGGGGCCCTCGAGGCGGCGTCCGCCGGCGAGGCCGCGCGCGCTTCGGCTGCTGAGGGGGGGCGTGGGCGAAAACACACACACACAGACACAATTAATCGTCCCCTCCCAGGAAAATATGGGAAAATATGGGAAGTGGGGGGGAAGACAAAAACCCAGAAAATGCGGGAACATATTGGAAATCCTTTTGTTTGTGTGTATTTGTTTGTGTGTCCCAGGGCCCCTTCAGCGATAAACATCAACGTTTGGCGCTCCGCGCGGATTTCTTGGATCCGCGCTGGGCCCCCCTAGCGGCGCCTCGGGCGCCGCCCCTGGCGTGCTCCGCGCGCCAGGGAGGGAGGCCCAGCGCGTATCCACGAAATCCGCGCGGAGCGCGAAAAGCTTATGTTTATGTAACTTGTTCTTCTTCTATTCTCCAGTCATGGGCATGAACATCATCAGCACCATTACAGTGGAGGCCCATGCCAGCCAAGAAGCGCCCTGCTTGCTTCCAGGGTGCCCTGGGTTTCTCGGGTTTCGATGGTTTTCCGGAGGAAAGCGTCACGTTCCCACACCAAAAATCAGTGAACGTCCTGGGGCCTCGGGGTTGGATTTCTTGTGGAAGGTTTCTTGTGGACTGACCTCCACTGCACGTTCAGATCATCAGTACCATGACCATCCTCATCAGTATTATAAGTATCATCATCACCAGCATCAGCAGTAGCATCAGCATCATCATCAACATCAGCATCGTCATCATCATGTTTAGTTGCATCATTGTGCTCAACATCGGCATCATCGCCATTATCACCATCACCATCCTCTCTATCATAACCATCAATAATACCATCATTACAATCGTCATCCTCATCATCATCATCATCATCATCATCATCATCATCATCATCATCATCATCATCATCATCATCATCATCATCATCATCATCATCATTTCGGTCTGTGCGTCTTCACAGCTCCGCTTCGCCTCCGCCGCATTGTTGTCAGACGTGTCGTCGATTTCGGTCCCGATCATCATCGTCGTCATCACTATTCTCATTCCTCCTCCCTCCTATCTCCCCCACTTCTCTCCCCCTCCCCTGGACGATCTTGCATGTCTTTTGTGGGTTCTTCGGGGTCTGGGGCGTCATCGGGGTTCTACGAGGTTTTCTCGCCTCGGGATGCTTCCCAACTCGCCGAGGGCATTCTGGGGGTGCCAGGGTCGCCCTGGACGGCCGCCGGAGGGCCGAATTGTGTGGCCCGAAAACCAGACGGCCTCGCGTCGGACAATTCTCCTGGCGAAGGACCCAACCATATGCAGCTGACCGCGTTGTGGGTACGGCCTTCGGTGGAGCTCCCCCTATGGGGCCACGATCCTCGTGAGGGGTGTGCCGAAGTGGGCGGGGGGACGCATGCAAACCCTGCCGCTGGGGCCTGAGGTGGAGCTCCCTATGGGGCCACGATCCTCGTGAGGGGTGTGCCGAAGTTGGCGGGGGGACGCATGCAAACCCTGCCGCTGGGGCCTGAGGTGGAGCTCCCTATGGGGCCACGATCCTCGTGAGGGGTGTGCCGAAGTTGGCGGGGGGACGCATGCAAACCCTGCCGCTGGGGCCTGAGGTGGAGCTCCCTATGGGGCCACGATCCTCGTGAGGGGTGTGCCGAAGTTGGCGGGGGGACGCATGCAAACCCTGCCGCATGGAGGGGGCCACGATCCTTGTGAGAGGTGTGCCGAAATGGGTGGGGTGGTGACGTATGCAAACCCTGCCGCTGGGGTGGAGCTCCCTATGGGGCCAAGATCCTCGTGAGGGGTGTGCCGAAGTGGGCGGGGGGATGCATGCAAACCCTGCCGCTGGGGCCTTCGGTGGAGCTCCCTATGGGGCCACAATCCTCGTGATGGAGTGTGCCGACAAGGGCGGGTGAACGCGTGCAAACCCTGCCGCTGGAGCCTACGGTGGAGCTCCCTTTGGGGCCACGATCCTCGTGAGAGGTGTGTCGAAGTGGGGGTGGGCGCATGCAAACCCTGCCGCTGGTGCCTTTGGTGGGGCCTTCTATGGGGCCACGATCCTCGTGAGGGGTGTGCCGAAATGAGCGGGGGCACGGACGCATGCAAACCCTGCCGCTGGGGCCTTCGGTATAGCTGCTTTTTGGACCGCGATCCTCGTGATGGGGTGTGCCGACGAGGGCGGGTGAACGCGTGCAAACCCTGCCGCTGGGGCCTTCGGTAGAGCTCCCTTTGGAGCCACGATCCTCGTGAGAGGTGTGCCGAAATGGGGGTGGGCGCATGCAAACCCTGCCGCTGGTGCCTTTGGTGGGGCCTTCTATGGGGCCACGATCCTCGTGAGGCTGACTGACTGAAGCCGTGCATCCCTGGCGGACGCGTGGGCAAATTGGGCGAAACAAACTATCACGGAAGGTACAACTGCACAGGCACAGGAGGAAGGAGAAGGAGGAAGGGGGGGAGGAGGGCATATTTCAAAAATCTGTGAATTGACGTCGCCCATTGTTGTCTGGGGCGGCCCCGGCGCCTGCGGAGGGCCCAATTCTTTGGGGCACCGTCGGCGTCGCACATTAGTTGTTTAACCAGTGAAGCGTCGCTCTGGGAAGCAACTTTCTTATATAGGTATCGCGTAAAATCGCGGACAGGGGCTTGGAGCCGGCGTTGTCCAGCACAGTAGCATTCGAAATTCTGGAAAAGTAAGAAGGCGGTATCCTCAGTATTTTTCTCAAGCACTCGCAGTGGAAGGCGGCCAACCTGTCGTTGTCCTTTTTCACGATCCTCGTGAGGGGTGTGCCGAAATGGGTGGGGGTGACGTATGCAAACCCTGCTGCTGGGGTGGAGCTCCCGATGGGGCCACGATCCTCGTGAGGGGTGTGCCGAAGTGGGCGGGGGGACGCATGCAAACCCTGCCGCTGGGGCCTTCGGTGGAGCTCCCTATGGGGCCACAATTCTAGTGATGGAGTGTGCCGACGAGGGCGGGTGAACGCGTGCAAACCCTGCCACTGGATCCTTCGGTGGAGCTCCCTTTGGAGCCACGATCCTCGTGAGAGGTGTGCCGAAATGGGGTTGGGCGCATGCAAACCCTGCCGCTGGTGCCTTTGGTGGGGCCTTCTATGGGGCCGCGATCCTCGTGAGGGGTGTGCCGAAATGAGCGGGGGCACGGACGCATGCAAACCCTGCCGCTGGGGCCTTCGGTGGAGCTCCCCCTATGGGGCCGCGATCCTCGTGATGGGGTGTACCGACGAGGGCGGGTGAACGCGTGCAAACCCTGCCGCTGGGGCCTTCGGTGGAGCTCCCTATGGGGCCACGATCCTCGTGATGGGTGTGCCGAAATGGGCGGGGGGGCGCAGGCAAACCCTGCCGCTGGGGCCTTCGGTAGAGCTCCCTTTGGGGCCCGCTGGGGCCTTCGGTGGAGCTCCCGATGGGGCCACTGTCCTCGTGAGGGGTGTGCCGAAATGGGCGGGGGGACGCATGCAAGCCCTGCCGCTGGGGCCTTCGGTGGAGCCTTCTATGGGGCCACGATCCTCGTGAGGGGTGTGCCAAAATGGGGGGGGGGCGCGTGCAAACCCTGCCGCTGGGGCCTTCGGTGGAGCTCCCTATGGGGCCGGGGGGTGCGCCGACATGGTGGACATGCAGCGAGCAGACGCAGGAATGGGAGGAGGGAGGAGGGGGAGGAAGGAGGGGGCAGCGGGAGGTGAGGTGAGGTGAGACGCGGGGCGCTGTCTCGTCAACACGAGGACCCAACACCACAGGATGGTTGGGAAGAAGCGACGAGCAGCCAGCCCTCAGAGCTCCGAGTCATCAGAGGTAACTCGGGTCAGGGCAACTCGGGTTCGCTTACCGGAAATCCAAACCCGGGTTGCCCTGGGCCCGGGTTACCGCGGATAGTTCGGGCGTCCAGAGCCCCGAGTCATCAGGGGTAACTCGGGTCAGGGCTAACTCGGGATCGTTTTCCGAGAATCCAAACCCGAGTAACCCCAGGCCCGAGTTACCCTGGACATTTCGGGCGCCCAAAGCCCCTTGTTCTTCTCCCCTGCTCCTTCTCCTGCTCCTCTTCCCTAGCCCCTCCCCCCCTCCCTTTCTCACACTACCTTTAAGTCAAAGGTCCAGCAGTATTCTGGGGACGATGTTTTTTGATCATTTGTTGGCAATGTTTGAGCACTTCCTGGATATATACAATTTGTCGCTCTAGATCCGCCTGCAGGAGGACATGCCCGACCTAACATTGCCTCCTCTTCCCTCTCCCCCCCCCGGCGGAGGAGGGGGGGGAGGAGGAGGAGGAGGAGGAGGAGGAGGAGGAGGAGGAGGAGGGAGGAGGAGGAGGAGGAGGAGGAGGAGGAGGAGAGAGGAGGAGGAGGAGGAGGAGGAGGAGGAGGAGGAGGAGGAGGAGGAGGAGGAGGAGGAGGAGGAGGAGGAGGAGGAGGAGGAGGAGGAGGAGGAGGAGGAGGAGGAGGAGGAGGAGGAGGAGGAGGAGGAGGAGGAGGAGGAGGAGGGAGGAGGAGGAGGAGGAGGAGGAGGAGGGAGGAGGAGGAGGAGGAGGAGGAGGAGGAGGAGGAGGAGGAGGAGGAGGAGGAGGAGGAGGAGAGGAGGAGGAGGAGGAGGAGGAGGAGGAGGAGGAGGAGGAGGAGGAGGAGGAGGAGGAGAGGAGGAGGAGGAGGAGGAGGAGGAGGAGGAGGAGGAGAGAGGAGAGAGGAGGGAGGAGGGAGGAGAGAGGAGAGACGACGAGCAGGCAGGGCCACCCGTACGATTTGACCCAGTGCGATTCGATTCGCTGGCCGGGCCCGCGGTTCCAGTTCAGTGAGGCTCGGTTTACGGGTGTCGGCTGGGACCGCAGTCGGGGGCGGCAAAGAGGGGGGGGATGATTAGGGGGGGGCGGATATCATGGCGGGGTCATGATATTTCTCCTGATTTCATGGCGCCTCGTCTTATTCCATTACGTCCCTGGCCCCCCCGAAGGGCCGCGCACATGCCGCTGGCCATCATTTGCGCACCCCCTCGTGGACGCCCCCCTCTTGGCCGCCCCCGACTCAGGGGCCACGTCAGAGGGGGAGCACGGTCG